TCTTTTTCATTTGTTTGACAATATGACAGGTGAGATTGATATTGTATTAATTTTCCTTCCTTGAATGTAACATTAAGTGCCAAAAGAGATTAGGAAAATGAGATGTCAGTGTATGCAGTAGACAGAAATTCACTCAAGGAGGAAGTTGTGGTTGATCTGTGGCTTGCAGATAGGAAGGAGAGGGGAACAAATGTGCTGAGAACCTCCTATGTGTCTTTAACCGTGCTATGGCCCTTACATAAATTGTCTCATTTAATCCCAATGACATTGTTACAAGATAAAATTTATACCCATTTTACAAAATAATACCCTAAGAATCTAAGTGTTAAGTACCTTTCTCAAATTGCACAGCAGAAGACAAGGCAAGGTTCTCTGGGTTTAAAGAGCAGAGTGAGCAAAGGTGCAGAGATGGGAGTAGAATCAAGTGACTAGCCTGACTAGAGCTGAAGATTCATATCGGGAAGTGATGGAAAACAAAGTAGGTTTAGTGAAGCCACGTTATAAGGTTGTTGAATGCCGGACAGAGGAATTAGGTGTGTCGACTCTGAAAAGCAGAGAGAAGGGAGGTAAAAAGGAAGAGGAAAAGAGCAGAACCCTAGGTAACCTCCTTCACGACTGTGGGTATACATGATACCTAAATCTGCGGCCTCCTCTATGTCAATAAATCTCTACACCTCTGTCTCCACATCTCCTCCCAAACATTCCCAAGAAAAGGAGTAACCAACATCAAATTACTGCTGCTGAGGCTTTCAAAGCATGAATTTGTGGAACATTAACATCTTTCACCCTTACTTTTGTGGTGAATCTCGGAATACTTTTTACATACTGAACATACAATTTCTGAGGATGGAAGATTGTGGAGAAAGATAAGACCCATGAAAATGAGAATAGCTTTCCTCATTCTCAATGACTTATCCTATTTCTCTCTCTGTGATTTCTCCACTTTTGCCTTCCAAACCCTCTAAAACCTTAGCCCTGCAAATTTTACATAGTAGGGCAGAACATGATCTTACTTATCCACTCGTGTTCTGCTGCCCTCTGGTGGTTATTTTGTTTCTATTGTATTCCTAAACACAAAACAGGAAAAACTTCAACCCACTCAAATATTATGGGGAAAGAAGGATAATGGTTAATTGAATCTTCAGTTAACTAGTTAACTGAAGACTAACGAGAAAAATCCTTTTGATATTAAGTATTAAAACCTCCCTAAAGTGTATTTTCCCACTTTTGGACCTTAGTATATTGAAAATGATTTAATCTTTCACTCCACAAGAAATCAGGAAATGTAATGTGTCGGGACAGGCAGTGAACAAGCAATCATGCGGTGGGCATTCCAATCCCAGTTCTACCACCAACTAGCTATGTGTCCTTACGTAAGTCACTTCACCTCTCTGGTCTCAGCTCCTTTATTTGTAAGATAAGAAGTTGAACAGAGTGAATTTTCTAGGGTTGCCTACACTCATTTTTCCCTCAATATCTGATAAGTCTCATGGCACTTACACCGTAGGACGAAACAGAGGAGCGAACAGCGCACTTTAATTTAGTGTGTGAAGTGCTATCCTGGAGTAAACACAGAAAGCTATCAGAGCATACAGAAGGAGCACATGACCCAGCCAGGGTCTAAGGGTATACAGAAGGTTGCAGGAAAGTCTTCAGGAAGAAGTAGCAGCTAAGCTGACACCTGATGGGTGAATGGGAATTATCAAAAGAGCAGGGATGGAGGAGGAGTGTAGAAAAAGAAGCAATATGTGCACAGGATCAGAAACGAGTGAGTAAGCATTCAAGAAACTAAAAGTAGTTCATTTTCGCTGGAATGCACAGTGTAAGGAGAAATGTCAAAAGATGAGAAAACAGAGTTAAGCATGAACCAGCTCATTTAAAGACATACAAATCAGGATAAGAACTTTGGACTTTATCCTAAGACCAATGAGAAATGTTTGAAGAGTTTTACTCAGGAATGATATGATCACATTTACATTTTTTAAAGATCAAGATACTGCTCTGATGAAACCACTAATAGGAAGTGCCGTCAGAAGCGATAACTGACGATAACAGTTCCTGGCTGACTGCAGTCAACATGTCCTCACGAG